TTATGATTTTAGACACCAACATCATATCTGTAGCTTATTTAGTTCCAATTATATGCACATTTTAGATAAATTTGGCGGCCATTTTTCAAAATGGCCGCCATTTGTATACCAGGTGAAAAATCAAGTGTCAACAGGGCTTTGGGTGACCAGGACGGATTAATTAGGATATCTGGCTATGTTGACTGCTTCTAACATTCCACTCCCCCTAGCTTGATTTCTAGGCCTCTTTTTTGATTTTTTTCCTAGTCTAGCAGCTGAGTTGGCATAGTGTTCATTCTCCAGTAACTTTAGCAGCCTAAAAACGTTTTGCACGTCTGATATAACTGCATGTTTTGTTTACATATATATTGGTAGGTGACACTCATTGCTTTGGCTACTAATTTATCCATAACGGATGCCATCGAAATACGTAGGATTCATAACCAACTTTTCCCGAATGAAGGCATGTATGAAGCTGGTTTCTCAACGGTAAGAACAATAATAAGATTTTACAGTATAAGTACAGTACCCTCCGTTGTTAATTTCAACGGCACAACATGTGATCATACACATGGAGATATTATAGCTTTCGTCGATATAAAAAAATGTTTTTTCTTTGCCAATAGGCGGTGCTGGAACGTTTGGAAGATCTTGGTCAAGTGGTAAGAGAGAAATCGTCTTTTGCTGTTGTTCAGGCGATATTAACAGATGAAAATGGAATTGATGCATATGCAGATTCAAGAAAGCAGGGTAAAGCAGTTATATACTAGTATTCAAATGTTTTTTAAAATGTTTATATTGTTTTCTCAATTCATATTTTTATGATGATTATAAATAATTGAAAGTATTCAAATCGTAAATCACTTCCAACAATAAATTTGAATTATGTGTGTAATAAAAGAGCATTTTGTAATCGTTGATGACGAAGACCACACATTTGTAAACATGAATACATTTATTTTTTAAAGATATATTTTCACTTTGTCTTATTCATATCACAATAATAAAGGAGCTCTAGTTTGCCTGGTGTAAAATGTTTCCCTTCCAATCCCAAGGTCCTGCTTAAGATTTTACCTCCAGATCAAACCCCCCCCCCCAAAAAAAAAAACTATGCCTCATAGTTAAGGAGTTTTTGTAGAACAGAAAAAATATTTACACATTTCTTGTGAAAGGGATTGCCACCTTCTGTACTATTACAATTTTGGTAATGGCAATCATTGGCCTATTTGCCTAAGTAATAGAAAAATACAGTGGAAAAAAAATATATGCGCATTTCTATCAATGCAATAAATACTTTACAACTGGTATGGAGTAAACAGACAGCCTTATTCCAGTTCCTGTTAATTACTTCACTCTTTTATACATAGTACTTGAAGTAAATTCAGGCATCTGGATGGCTTTTTACTTTAACGCGTTGACTGCCAGACAATTTTAAAGGTTCCTTCCCATGTGCCAAAACAAGTTTACAATTAGTAACTTATTTTTGAAATTTTATCTAGTCGTATATTATCAAAATGATCTGTCTAACAAATTGGCGGGAAAATATTAGGCGGCGAGTAAACTCGTCGACGGCACTGTGACAACACTTTTTATTGACTATGCCAAGTGCGAGTTATCTCGTCCGCTTTTTGCATGGGTTGGTAATGTTCAAAGGGCGCCCCCCCCCCCACATGTGCCGCTCGAGTGTACTACCAGCAACATATCACAACAAACAAACATTCATCATTTGTATATTATAATCTAGGTATATCTTCCCTGAACTACCAGCAGTTGAGTCTGCGGTTCTACAATAAATAAAAATTAAGTTATAAACCCTAGAATCTTACCCCAATTTTGACAAGTATACTCGTCCATGGCACCCTTAGCAACACCCTGTGGGCGAATATACTCGTCGCTGGCAGCCAACGTGTCAATGAGGTAATTTGTTTCTGTATGCAATTCTGTTCTGTTTTGCATCCGGTTGGCTACATATCAATATGACATCTTCAAGCTTCTGATTGGCCATTTGAAACTGTCCAAAATTCCAATTTGTAACTGTAGTGCCATCAGCTTATGAATGGCTACCTATCAATATGACATCCCAAAACTAGTCAAAAATTTAGTTCATAAGCTTAAATTCTCTAGTGACCAACATGCATCTGGATGGTTATCTATCTTGATAAGATCAGTCCTACTGAAAGGCCAAACTGTTTTCAAAAATCCAGTTTTTAAGTTTCAATTCTGTACTGATCAAGAGGCTTCAGTGTGGTCGTTAAGCTTCTGGATGACCATCTAATACCGTTAAGCAGTCTAAATTATAAGCTTCAGCACTGTAGTGACCTCTGGCTGCATTCTTCACAACTGGCGCAAGGTCCTTCTCACACCATCTATGGAATAATAAAACCCAGTTAAAAAATGTTAATACAAAAAATATATATTTGAATTGTTAATTTCCCTGCTTTTTCAACTGCACTCGATTGTCAAAAAATCCTTTATATTTTGCAAAGTAAAAACATCAAATAAACAAATGTGGCCTATTGGCTAGTGACCCACACAAGCCCTTCTGAATCTTTGCTTGTTGTCTTAGAGTTAAATACAATTTCACAACAGGATGATCTTGGCACCAAATTATTTATTTTAATAGATTTGGCTATTTTAACATGAGCCCCATGGCTAATGAATGCATATGATATTATTGTTAAAGAGGGAAGGACCTGGCATTGAAAACTACAAATGCAAGTACTGTATTATTAAGAGACATCTCTGTAATAATGGGTATTGTATTATTATATACTATATTATATATATTATATATAAATTTGATGAACAATTAGTTTCCTTTTGTGGATTAATAAATTTGTTGTTATTTTACTGGATAATCATCAAATAGCATTCTCCTAGCTTCAAGGTAATTGTCAACCTTAATGGCAAATAAATGTTAGTACCGTTTGGCAACCAGAACATCTGATGAGTTTGCCCCTTCCCAGGCAGCATGGTCCAAGATAAGAGTGGCCATGTAGATCCTTGCTAGGCTAAAGGCAAAATCACGGGCTGCTGCTTCCATGTAAGATGAGGACTGGTGATAAGACATTTCAACAAAGTTCTTGATGTCCTACAATAAAACATCACCCCTTTTACACTTTGCAGTAAAGATCCTACAAATTCTCTGGAAGTTTGACCCTTTGTTGTAGGCTAAAGACTATTACTTAAAAAAAAAAAAAACAGTCGCAACTAATATATAATATAATAAAAGTATTACTGCATAGACTTCAGATTATTGTTAATTAATTCTATAAGTAATTTCCTTTTTTACTTTAAAATACTGATAGTATGAAATAATAGCTATAAAATTGAACAACCTTTTTTTTTAAATCTTGTTTTGGGGATTCTCAATACATTTAAACTTTCCTATGTCGACTTTGCCTAACTTGAATAATTTCTAATCGATCTTACTTTACATGCCAAATTGTTATTAACCATCTGTAAGTCAAATTTTATCGAAAGTCGAACAATTTTTCAATGCTATTTTAGATTTGACTTTGGCAAGTTCAACTGTATTAGGTGCTTTTTGTCTTTGAAGCAAGAGTTAATAATTTCAGTATTGACTGTGATAAACTTGTGAGAATGAAAGCTAGATATTTATAAAACAAAAATAGTTTACCTTGAGAGATTTAGTGACATTGAGGGCGCTGTTTTTGAGGTCATTGTTCTGAGACAAAGTAATGTTTTTCAGTTTGCATTCAATGTCCTCAAAGAATGAGAGCAGTACCTGGCCATTACTTTTAGTGATTGCTCGTAGAACGTCAAGCGAAAGAATATTTGTTGTACCTTCCCAGATACTAAGGACCTACAAAAAAAAAGTTCACAGAGTATCAGAGTGCCCATCCAAAGTTGACTTGTATTTGGATGAGAATAAAAAAAACTTTACCTGGGCATCCCTCAAAAATACTGGTAAGCCACTGTCTTCAATGTATCCCTGGCCTCCAAAGCACTCCAACGATTCTGATGCCACAGAAATCGCCTGAAATAGTGCAGTAGTTAATACTGGTATGAAAAATCGTACATATATTAGGCCAAAAAAAAAAAAAAATTGTGTTGACCACGTCTGACCGACCCAAATTTTACGAAATTCAGGGTCGGCATTTTAGCTTTTTTTTCTTTTTTCTTTACTACTATGAAAACATTTTTTTTTATGAGCAAATAAGGCTGAAATAGCCTTGGTCAGGCTAGAGGGGCAAAGGCAAAGCCTATTTTACTTAATCAAAAACGGTTGTATTATTTGTGTATTTTCTACTTTTTAGGCGTGAACACATTTTTGGTAAAAAAAAAAAAAAAAATTTTTTTTTTAAGTTTTCCTACCGACCTACCCAGTTTTTGGATTTTCCCAAACCGTGGCCAACACAAAAAATTTTTTTTTTGGCCTTATGAAAAATAGACAATTTGATTGGCTGAGCGACTAAGGCAAGGACACCACAATGTACAGCCATAACATCAGCCTTACGTTGAACACCTATAGTTCTGGTAGTGGAACAAGTTTTCTCTAAAAGACTATAAACTGTAGGCCCAGTGTACAAATTTTGCTCATGTGCACTTCAAAGAATTCAGGACATCTTTCGAAACAAGTAGGGGTTACCCCGCTGTACTGGTCCACCCTTATATAATGCTATATTGTGTATTTTCTATTCCAAAATGGTTACACAGTTGCACAATAGTGCTGCTTTAGCAAGATGGACTGGAAAATCACTATATGAAAAGATATTCAAGCACTTACAAAAAGCAAACCACAACCAATAAACTAATTGTTTTTTTTTATCGTCCCTTGAGGTCCTTCTTACCTGTTTACCAGTGTAGAGCTTAGCTAGTGGCGTTAACAGGCGCAGTAAATTGGTCTCAGTCTGGTTGGCTTCACCACAATCTTCCAAACCCAGCAGACGACCAATCTCCATTACCAGTAAAAATGCCGCCCTCACTTCCACCTGCAAGTCCCATCAATATATATATATATACATAATATATATTATATATAAAAATATTAAAATGATTAGACAAGGCATACATATATTTAATACAAATATATTCTAATATCACATAACTTTCAAACTCTTAAATTAGCTAGTACTAAGTTGAGAAGAGAAAAAAGCTTCGTTTGATCTGTGTATCATTTGGTTGATAACTTATTTCATAATTTAAATTAGCAAATTATAAACTGAGGGTTTTTATTCTGACTTAATAAGTTGATCTCCATAATCACACCTGACATGACATTTCTCTAAAAATGAAAGCATTCATCAGTAATCAAGAATTCAATTCAATTCAGAAATATTTATTCAAATAGACGTAACATATTAAATACAATTCCAATTAATCAAACCATAATCAACAATGGAAGCAGTTTGGTGCAGCGGGAATGGTTTGGTTTCCCAACCTCAAGGTCGGGGATTCAATCCCTCGCTGTGCATTTCACTTGTGCTCTTGAGCAAGGCACTTTATCTGCATTGCGTCTATCCACCCAGGAGCATAAATGGGTACCTGGTGGGGTTGCATGCTACTGCACCAATATGGCAGCAACACTCTAGCCTGGTTCTCACGAGAGCCCTAGTATCTGAATCGGGAGCTAACCGTTAGCACCTGCGTGAGAACGCCTGATCGGTTAGCTCTAACTGTTAGCAGTATCCGGATACCGCTAACGGTTAGCAAGCGCAATCGGTTAGCAAGTTGAGGGTGTTTCTATCATCAACCAATCACACGCACACGTTTACAATTTCCAGTTTCTTATTGGCCAGTGATTCGATCATCATATTTTTGGTATCCTGATTGGGATTTTCTCGGATGGACGCACGACAGCTAACAGTCAGCAGGATCCGGATCCTGCTAACCGTTAGCAGCCGTGTGCCTTAAGCACGTGGAGCCAATGACCACGGAAAAAAGAGCACTTTGTAACCTAAAGGAATAGGGGATATATAAATACCAAAATAACAATAACAAACTTGTAACTTCAATGGATTCAATGAATTATCACTGGTACAACTGCATCCCTACATAGAAACTTGATGGCTTTTTACTAGCAAAAATAGTAAAGAACACATGCATACCTCAAGTCTAGACAGGGTCTGCATATGAAGAGGATGCTTCATAATCACTTTACCAAATGCTGTTCTCTTTAGACAGTAATCTCTTGCTAAATGCACTATTCTATAGAAAACAGATATAGCAAACTGTAATTTATTACATTCTTCTGATAAATAGGAACACTTAACAGGAACAAGAAAACTTAGGATGTTTAAAAGACAATATCATAGTCATAAAATGTTTATACTTTGTTTCACAAACTGAGGACATGAAATCATACATAAGCAATTCACTAATTGTTTCAGAAAGTTAACTGGTGATTCTGCAGTTAGGTAGACTGAAAAGAAAGGCTTGATATATTTTATTAACTATAGAAAAAACCTCTGTAAATAGAATTCCATAAGTAAGGTGGTAGACCAATTTAAAATATATGAGTGTGCAGTTCCTTACTAAAAGAAAGCAGATTGTCTCTTCTTGGGCTTTGAATCTAGCTGCATCAGCCTAATACAGGTACAAAAATAGGGCTACAATCCTCTGTGTTTACAGCCCTTCAATCTTACTGTACTAACCTTCTCATGGAAGCTGCAGCTGAAATTGTGTTATGTACCCTTGTGACTGTCAGCATAGGTGTTATGTCAGCAACACCCCTTCCCTCACCGGAGACCTAAAACCAATATTATTAGAAAAACTATGACTGGTGCATACTGTGCAACTGACCTTCTCATGTTGCTAACTGCCATCATGATTGTGTGAATCCTTGAAATAGTCAGCATAGAGGTTATGGAAGACACACCCCTTCCTTCCTCAGACACCTAACAGAACCAAAAGGTACGCCACTTATAAAATCTAGTGGTTTCATCAGGAGCATTTGTAGGAATTAGTTCCCTGACCCAATTAATGTGCTACAGTACATTACTCGTGGGCAAAGTGTGGCCCGTCAGCAGTTATGTTGCAGCCCGTGAAATATGTATGTGTACGGCTAACCTACCACCTTTGACCGGAAAACCCCGACACCAAACATCTGCATAAAGTAACAGTTTTTGCAAGCATATTAGAAACGTCAAATTTTCAGCATAATTTGCTTGCGGCCCTCAGTGATAAATATAAAATTCTGTTTGGCCCTCCTCTGTGCTACGCATTTGTATTAGTCTCACATACCTCATCATACATTAGGTTTTAGTCATATTATGCAAATAAAAGAAAAGCTAGGTGCTATATAGATATATATAAGTAAAAAAATAAATAAATAAACATCCCACGTACCATGCTGATAATTGCTGTGATTTAGATCATGTCTCATTTACTGAACATGTAGAAGACTTTGCTTATTATTAGAATATATTGTGATGTAAGAGAGATGATTCAAAGCAGCACAAACTTGCTTTTATTGAAGAATATTGGATGCTGATTTAAGTTCTCTTACCAGGTGGGCGATGGTTCCATCAAGGAGCAGCTCGGCAGTTGGCAGCTGTCTTGTGCCAAGCTTGTCTTTGAGCTTCTGTATCTCAATGTTGTTCAGTTTACCATCAGCTGTCTTGGTTTCCAAGTAGAACAGTGACAGTCCTCGTGAACCCTAGGCAAGAAAGCAGAGATCTAGTCACTTTGGCTACGTTCAGACTTGGAGATAAGCCAGGCTTGAGTTAGACCGGCTCAACTTTAAGCCTGGCATAACTTTGCCGGGCATTCAGACTAGCGGGTTTAGCCAGGCGAGAATTTGCATAATAATGAACCGTAACCAGGAAACGTGTTTCAAAACATTGCTCGTGAAACGTACGCTCGCTCACAGCGTACGTAATTGAATGCTGGTTGGTAATTTCATCACCCGAAATCAATGCAAGACCCCCGCAACAATTAAAGTCCGGCTTACACACGGTGGCAGCCAGGCCTAGTTACTATAGGAACACAGCCCTGCTTGAGATAAGCCACCTAGTTCAGACTGGCAGGTGGATAAACCCAGTGTGTTAAGCCGGGTTTATCCACCTAGTCTGAACTAGGCTTCAGTGTTATATAAATACAGTTGGTACATAGCCATTCACAGTGCCTCGCCTGTTATCAAATTTCTCTTTTAGACTCTCATCATCTGATCATGTGGGATCCTTGGTACTCTACAAAGGTCCTCAAATTGTCCTGTTGGCCAACGTTCGGCAGCAAATGACTATCTCAAAACAAAAGGTTTTGGCTGGCACCATTGCTGAAGTTTTACGCTTCAAACAATTTGAATACAATAATTACTGACTCCTCCAGACCCTTGCCCCACAGCAATTATCTATATTTGGCTTCCATAATAGATTGATTGAATCCTGATTTTTCAATTCACACACAGCTTCATTGCTTTTCATAGCAACTGGCTCTTTCTATATACTGGTCCACTTCATCCACTCAGTCTCCTTTATTCAAATGGAACAATAGCCTGGTTCTCACGAGAGCCCTAGTATCCGGATCGGGAGCTAACCGTTAGCGCCTGCGTGAGAACGCCCGATCGGTTAACTCTAACCGTTAGCGGTATCCGGATACCTCTAATGGTTATCAAGCGCTATCGGTTAGCAACTGAGCACGTTTCTATCATCAACCAATCAATTTCCAGTTTCTTATTGACTAGCGATTCAATCATCATATTCTTGGTATCCGGATCGGAATCTTCTCGTAGGATGCACGGCAGATAACGATTAGCAGGATCCGGATCCTGCTAACCGTTAGCTGCCGTGTGAGAACATAGCCAATATCTTGATACATACTGGGTTTGTTTGTCCATGTTCATCAACAATTCTAGCAAGGGTTAATGTCATGTCTGCATCAGTAGCTGAAGAAAACCACTTGTATCCATGTAACTTGTAAGTTCCATCTGGTTGTGGAATTGCTATTGTTTCAGTTCCAAGTCCTACAGAATAAGAACATAGAACAGCAATTGATTGATGTACATTTGTCAGTGTTTGACTATACCAGGGAGTTGTTATAGTGATACTGAAAATATATTAGTCCCTTTTAAAACATATAAATGGCTGTCTCTTATACACATCTAGATGTGTATAAGAGACAGATTCAATTCACTCACGAGAGCCCTATTATCCCGATCAGGAGCTAACCGTTAGTGCTAACCGTTAGCACCTGTGTGAGAACGCCCGATCGGTTAGCGCTAACCGTCGCTAACGGTTAGCAAGCTCTATTGGTTAGCAAGTTGAGCGCGTTTCTATTGTCAACCAATCACACGTACATGTTTACAATTTCCAGTTTCTTATTGGCCAGTGATTCGATCATCATATTCTTGGTATCCGGATCGGAATCTTCTCGTAGGATGCACGGCAGATAACGATTAGCAGGATCCGGATCCTGCTAACCGTTAGCTGCCGTGTGAGAACATAGCCAATATCTTGATACATACTGGGTTTGTTTGTCCATGTTCATCAACAATTCTAGCAAGGGTTAATGTCATGTCTGCATCAGTAGCTGAAGAAAACCACTTGTATCCATGTAACTTGTAAGTTCCATCTGGTTGTGGAATTGCTATTGTTTCAGTTCCTAGTCCTACAGAATAAGAACATAGAACAACAATTGATTGATGTACATTTGTCAGTGTTTGACTATACCAGGGAGTTGTTATAGTGATACTGAAAATATATTAGTCACTTTTAAAACATATAAATGGTATCAGTCAGACATCAGTTGTTTTTAAGCAACCAACTTATATATGGAAAAATTAAATTCAAGTGGATAAGTGGTACTTAATTGCACAGTAATAAATATATTAAATTAAAAAAGATGGATCTTCATAAAATGATCACAGGTAAAGGAAAACACCATTTGCATCTGTCCAAAAAACTTGCTGAGAATGAACATCTAAAATAAAATGGGCATCCTGCTAAAGTACTTTGGTGCACAGAAGTGGCATACCTTGGAGTCTTGAAGTGGGGGGGGGGGCTGAGGGGATGCAAAGGTGAAGTGGGGGCTTGATGATTAAGTGAGGGGCTCTAGCTCTCAAATAAGGATATAAGGTGATTTTTATATCTAATTTGGAGTGATTTTTTTGCTTCAAACATTTTCAATGGGGGAAGGGAGGCACTAGATATGCCACAGGTGCACAAGAGGTCTGCTATCAAATGAGATTAAAATTTGGATAATTCAATGTAAAGTGTGCAGAACAGTTTTCTACTATAATTGTTTAATCATATTATAAGCAAAGCTGTGACTTACAGCAAACTGCTTCGAATTTACTAGTCACCTGATAATGTATGCTGTACTTACCAACATCAGAACCACCACGCTTCTCGGTCATCCACTGACCTGATGTCCAGAAGTCCTTTGGGTTTCGTGAAATCAGTCTGGAAAATGCCCTCTCTTTCATAGGAAGATCTGGATGCAACTAAAACATGTAAAAGCAACCATTACTATCAAAGCCACTGCTGGGCCTTGTCCATACACCACCAACTACTGTACAACTTTTTTTTGACACCATGCTGAGTGGAGAGATAATGAGTCACATTCTACAGGGTGGGCACACACTGCCGAATGTTGAATGAGCGCAATGCAACAACGTGCCCATAAGAGATCATTTTTAATTGACGATCCGGTTTGAATGCCACCAACAATCAGCAGACATGACTCAGTGTGTGCTGGGCTTTGACATAAGCCTCAGATGAAAACTGTGGATCTCTCAATTATAAGCACAAACAATTTTTTTGCCACATGTGTCTAAATAAAGTGGTACAACAACCATCACTACATTATATACCGTAAAACCTTGAACTGAAGCCCAATTGGCTTAATCTTGAGAACAAGCCCATAGCTTGAATTGAAGCCCCACTCTTAGTTTGCAAAATTAGCCTCGAAAAGAAGATAGCAAAGGCTTCTTTTTGGGATAGCACAGCACATACACTGTACATGAATTTCAAAACCATGCTTGATTTATGTGTAGTTTAGGTGATTTAATGCCAGTTAATACACGCCACGATACTGATTGATGTTTTATAGTATATTCCAAAAACTTACAGCATCGTTTTGAAAAGAAGCCCCCCTCTTTACTTTGCAAATGTAGCCTCGAAAAGAGGCCCATCTCGAAAAGAATGCCATCCAAAGTTCGCATAAAAAAGAAGCCCAGGGCTTCAATTAGAGGTTTTACGGTATTTACATTGTATATTTTTTGTTTTTTCTAAGGGAGGTTGATAAATGAATGACTAAATGAATAAATTTCTATGTGGTACCATAATTATATTAGTCAATTAATGGATAACCTATTTTAAAATGGAAAATGAAAAAAATCACCCGGAAAAAACTGGCAGCTCCATCTGTCATTGCTAATGGACATGAATACAATCCTGATGATGGTGCGTACATGTAGAGTTTACTCAACTGGTACAGTCGGCTAAAATTAAAATTGACTGTCAATAATTAAAATGACGGTACAGCAATTAAATCGTTGGTTGAATTTAATCTGTAAGCTTAGGAACAACAGTTAATTTTCCTGTTTCTAAAGTCACTTGTTTTTACATGATTTAACTATTTAACTTGCCTCCATGTTCCATACTCTTTTTCATATGGTATTGCTACAAGTCCCTCTTTGGCCGAGATGTCGTGCTGCTTCTTCCAGGCCACACAAGTGTTCAATTCATCGACACGATTTCCCCATGCATCAAAAGCTTTGTGTTTTGGTGGATTTTTCTCACACTCTTCTCCCAAACCATCAATTTCTGAAGCGATTCTTTCTCCAAACCTTTCTAAATCCGAATAAATTCTGTCCAGCACCTGCAAAATAATTTGGATTTAAACAGAAACAAATATTATGATGTCATAACATAAACTAATGGTTGAAAAGAAAGATATTAAATGTAATTCAACACCGAGACCAGTCAGCGGCAGTCTAAAGGGGCCATGGCTACTCCGACCACCACTGGGGTAGGCCTACATCTAGGCTACATTGGGCCCTCAGATAATCGACAGCCTTACTGTAGCCTCTCTAGGTTGGCCTAGCCTGCTACTGTAGGTAGCCTAGGCCGTGGGCCTAGTTATATTATTAATAAACATATTATTTCTAGGATAAAACATGCATCAAGGTACCTCTTTGGGCACTGTCCGTCTCAAAAAGGTTTGAAGGAGGTTGTCCTCGGTAAAAGCATTTGTCAACTTTGGCTTTACTTGCGAGAATGCACCGAGCTTGGCACGACTATATGGTATATCACTAGGCCCCGGAAGAATTGGATGTAGGCCTAGGCCTGCCGCTTGATCTGTACATCTGGCGGAGCCCGTGCTTGAAAATGCCTTACTACTACTACCAGGGAACAGTGAAATGCTGCTACTACTACTACCACCACCACCAGGCCTAGCCCTCGACCTCAGTAGAGATGATGTTGTCTTACATTCATCGTACTTTTTTGTTTTATGGAATGTGTTGGAACCTAAAACTAGGCATCTGGTTGACGACCGTGTAACGTGCCTATTGACACATAGTGCTGCTTGTCTACAAAACATTGTTTATTCCTAGGCTAGGCCTCCGCCTCGGGATTCTCCTCCTGTATACGTCACCAACCTGCAACCTGACAAAGTATGTGATCTTGATCTTTGACCAGATGTTTCCAGCCTTATCGTCTCCCCATCCAAAACCAAAGCTCATTGGCCGGTGGTTTATGAATATTAATAACACAGACCCTATTATTAGCTCATGGGAACTTCCTGAAAATGCCGAGGACACCCTGAGTGATTGATTTGCTCATCAACATTTTTTCTCCAATCTGTTTTAAAAGGATGTGACTTTTTCACAAGCTTTATTTACTAATTAGCAATTGTCAATGATGACAAGAATCGTATTGCTTTTCTGAACCCTGAGTGATTGATTTGCTCAGGATTTGCTCATCAACATTTTTTCTCCAATCTGTTTTAAAAGGATGTGACTTTTTCACAAGCTTTATTTACTAATTAGCAATTGTCAATGATGACGAGAATCGTATTGCTTTTCTGAAGTGCCTGGATGCTTTTGTTTTAATAAGAAGTTTCAATAACATAATACATAAATCACCGGTATCAATTTTATTGAAATGAATTTTATACCAAGGGCAGTAGAAAATGTTATTATTAAATCATTAGCATTATAATTATCACTATCAGCATCAAGATCATCATCCTTCTCATCATTATCAAAGCAATTACAAATTTAGAAAATATTTTTATTGCAATGTTTGCAGAATCATTGTGTATATTTATGTAAATGAAGTTATATAATTTCGAGCGATGAGAATAACGTGATGGTATATGTACCAATTCGTTTTTATAGAAGTAGAGAGAGAATAAATGCCAAATAAAAAATCAGAAAAACAAATTTAAACAGCTATTATTTTATTTTTTCAAAAAATTAACATTCTTTAAATGATTTTTCATTCTAAAAAGATTGGCAAATATATAAGTATATAAAAAAGCAGATCAAAAAGCATGTTAAAGTATGGAAGTCATGAAATGTTACATTACTGAAATATTGAAAATAAAATAGAATAATACATAAAATTTTTGAAATGTTGAAAATAAAGTAAACTAAAGCATATACTGCCACCCAAGAAATTAAAATACAGGTCAAAAAAATTAAAATTGTTCATTTTAAAGAACCACATAAATTATCAACATTCATAAATAAATAAAAAATATCAGCTTCCTATGATTTTGAAATGTTTTACTACAAAAATTCACAAAAAACAAACATTTGCTGCCAGATGACATCCTTTAATTAATTGGCGAATATATTCTTATAATTTTCAGTTGGAAGCTAGTGACTTATTGAAATGCACCAAGAAATCCATTTTATTTTCAATTTTATATTACATTAAAGTGGCAATACATCTTTAATAGCTTTACATCAATATTCAAGGCCCTGTTGCATAGAAATAATACTAATAATTTTTTACATGGATTGTAGACACACATTGGTTGGAATAACAATTGGCACCAAAGTCTGTATTGACATTAAAGGCACTTTATAATGATTAGAAATACAGTACTGTATCAAAACATTTTTTTAATTGATACAATCATAGGTTTTTATGTAACTTGTTGAGAAACATTGGTTGGAGGAACTTAGCATCAAAGTCTCTATCAACATTCAGTATCATCAATAGAAATATTAATTCATTTTTCCACTTCTACAATCAAAGGTTTTTAAGTAAATTGTAGACACACATTGGTTGGAAGAAACTTGCATTAAAGTCTGTATCAACATTTAAGGCATATCATCAATAGAAATATTAATTTATTTTTACAGTTCTTCAATCAAAGGCTTTTAAGTAAATTGTAGACACACATTGGTTGGAAGAAACTTCAATCAAAATATGTATCAACAATCAAGGCACTATAGTAAATTGAAATATTAATACTCTTTTTTATATTGCTATACAATCAAAGGTTTTTTTATAACTTGTACGCACACATTGGTTGGAAGAAACGTGCATTAAAGTCTGTATCAACATTCAAGGGACTTACCATCAATACAAAATAATACTTATTTTTAAAATTGCCAATCCACTACTGTATGGTCAAACTACTAAGTATAAAAATACAAAAAAAAAACTCACCACAACCAGTTATCTGAAAAAATGTGTGTTAAGTAAGCCAGCCTTTAAGACCTTGTGTATTGTATTAATATACTTAGAAAAAACAAATGTAATAATATGGAGTTACTATTGCCCCCTAAAAACTGATTTTAACTGCTTAACGATTATATTTATTGGCAAAATGTTATACACGATGAAGCAAATTATTATCAAATATTAAACAATGCGCCTTTAAGCAACTAGCAGATGCATCTGCTGGGGGGAGGATGAGTAATCACCCAGCTAGCAGCAGGATAAAAACCAAGTGCAGATGGGCTCCTCGGAGTTGAGTTGTATTTTTAATGTGTGACCATGATTTTCTCTAAGGTTTTCTTTTCCTCCAGAGTTGATACTTTAATTTAAGATGGTAGTACGTAGAATTTCAAAACTGAAGTGTTGACATTTAAAAATAGCTACATTGTTTATAAGCCCGCAACCTTCATAATTATTGATATTTTCTAAATTAATTTAAACCTATTAGGCTATGTGATGTACTTGTACAAACCCCAATATTAAAAAAAATCAATTCTTATTATTGAAGTACAAGAACTTATTGGAAGACATCACCTTGCTCTTACTTATATGCTGTATACTTTCCACAAAACAGCACACAAAACAATATATTATAAACAATAAAAATCAGTTAAAATATAATACATTTGGCTTCACAACAAAACAGTTTTAAAGGTTTTGCTGACTAACAAATTACTAAAAAAAAAAAAAGAAACACTTTATTATTATTAAGTACAAAAAGGTATTAAGTACAAATATTTTTAAATCACCTTTTTCCTAAACATTCAACAAGTTATGAACATTAGAAACAGACATATACTATTCATTTATATACAAACATCTGTTCGTGTGATGGTACATGGAATGTGTGAAAATGGTAATGGATTGGAAGACAAGGTGATAACCGTATATTAAGCTGACAACAGCATATCAAATTATAGATACAAATGGTTTGTTCCTCTGAGGAAGGTTCAGAGTACAGTAAATACTGGGCCACTGAATACTATTTCACTGTATATCCAAAGTTGAGGTAAAGCAACATGAATGCAAGGTTTGGGTGGTGTAGATTCTGCATCTCTTTCAGGAGGGAAAATGTGACTACTGGTTACGGTGCCTTTCTTACAAAACCACAATCCTGGTTCCAACCATATCACTAAATCTCTCAAAGTATAACAATTACATTTCCCAAGCCTTACAAACATCTAATCTATTTAATATTATGTACATATTGATATTTGTTCTTTATATCTTTATGTTAATATTTCAAATTTTGTATTCAATAATGCCATTATAATAATAGGCAAAATTATATTTTTATGATCAGTAATTTTTGTTGTTAACCGCATTGTTTTTTTAAATTAATGTGCGAATATAATTCTATTTAAAGGTTAATTATAAACAAAGTGGAAGAATCTTATATCTGGTTAAAGCATTTTTAAGGAGCATTCCAACTTAATTTTTTTTTCCATCTTTAAACACAATGTAGTTTACTGTACTTAAAAATATACAAATAAAACAAATAATTTAAGGTGAAATGTGACCCTGATATGGTTAAACAGGCTGTTGCTCAGTGGAATTTGTAATTAATTTCAGGTCCACATTTAATCAATCTATGCTCACTTGAGTCTGTGATTGGCTTGATACCATCTCACATCTACACATGTTTGCTAAATGTAACAATGAAATGTACTCAAGCCAAAAAAAATCTTTACATAGCATCTTGTGCAACAATTTTACTTTTCCTATATAAATCATTGTATACTATTACTTATTTCCTTAGTATTATGAATGAATACTTCTCTTAAATATGGACTGCAAAAGCATTTTTAAAATAAAAGGAGTTAGAAAAATACAAATTAATTTTAAAGTTGATAATGTCAGGTCTGTTCTGTTGACACTTCTGTTTTTAAGAATGTTTTGGAAATTTGTTAGTAAATTTCTTCGGCATCGTCGTCGTCGTCATCGCTAGGATACTCATCTGTCTCCTCCTCATCTGGTGACATGTACTCATGTCTGTTTGGCATTGGAGGTTCTTTTGCAAGCACGACTTGAACGTTAGAGCCATTGTAATATGTAGGTAAACGCTCATAAGATGGAGCAAAACAACAGTTCCGATTACTTCGAGCTTGTAACAAACCGAAAATAACAAAGAAGAGGAGGATGACACCTAAACATGATAGAACAATAGCCGTTACTGGGCTGCCTTCAGTTTCCCTATTCTTATTATTTGCTCCTTTGTAAATGTCGTCCTCCTTCCCTAAACCTGGTCTACAGCGATCTGTCAAGAAAATAAAATTTTTAAATTTTTTACCTCCTAATTTTTAATTAAACTACTATAATTTTTTGCTGATTTTCATTAATTAATTTTCATTTCATCAACTTTTTGTATTATTTTGATCCATACAGCCAAAGTGGACCATTTGGGCCTAGAAGAGCCAAATAATGCTAAATACAATATTTAAAATTTACATTTTTTTTTAATAGTATATATTTATATTTAATAAAATTTACATGCTAGAACAAAATACATCACATGGAACAAGTCCATTTTACAATTCTCTAGATTACAAAAAACCACATAATAATACTTTATCGTAGAGTACTTATTGTTTACAATTAATAAATTTATTTAAATAAAATATAATGTACCTGTTTTCTTGTTGCATTCACAGCATGTGCCTTCCACTAGTTTTTCGCCATCTTCACAACATCTCACACAATAATGATGATTTTTGTCAACATGGTGAATTTTCTTGTCTTTCACACAAGTTATGCATTCATTAGACCTATTACCATAGCAGTCATGGCAAGGGGAAAGACATTTTCCACAACTATCCTCAATAGAAGCATCACTAGACTGAGAAAAACACAGAAGAAAAGCGGTTTACTAAATGCATTGGGAAGGGGGGGGGTGTCCCCGACAAGAAAAAAGTGGGCCTGGTCGGGCGGCTTTTGCTAAAAACTTTTCAAAAGTGGTCCAGCGAACGTAGCCCCCTGAAAATATGATAATTTAGGGGTTTCAAAGGCTTACGTAATCGATTTTAGAGTCTATTGATATGTACAAAATACATCGGGGGGGGGGGGAGCCTCCCCAACGGGGGACTTACCCCCTAGCTACCCCGTAGGTCGCCACTGGCATTTGGAGTTAGTTATGTCTCAATTTCTGGGGAAGCTCCTGAGACAAGAGGGACTTGGGAGTAATTGGTGTTAGTTTTATCACAAATTACATTTTCTATTGTGTGTACAGTATATAGGTGAGTTTGGCAATTCCATTTTTTTCTTTAATGCTCGAGAGGAAAGATTCAAAGGACACTTTGGCATTTATCAGTTTACCTGATTAAGTATTCTTCTCATTATTCAGGCTTCCAACATATTTTTGCTTTTTGGGAGGAGTGTGGGAGCCTGTCTCAATTTCTGGGAGGCTCCCAAGACAAGAATGACTTGGGACTCCTGATACAAGCAACAAACAAGTGATTTATACCATAATGTTTGTAAATATCAATGGAATTTGTTCCTAAGAAAATAAAATATATCAAGAATTCGGCAGATGCTTTAGTCACAGGTGGACAAAGTACGGCTCGGCAGTGATTTTTTTGCGGCCAACAAAAACAAATTAAAAATCCAATGTGTGGGACCAGCCAACCATCTTAGACTAGAAAACACCTTGTTTTTACGGCCTGACACCCCAGGCCTGTACGCAAGGGGTGCGACCCCTACGCACACCCACAAATTACAAAAGGTCCACATTTTGAAAATTCAAGACACATTATCACATCCTCCAAAAATCCATCCACCAAAAATGCTTCACCAATCAGAGCAGTTTCCAACTAGGACTGTCTCTAATTTGTTGTACGAGCAAGGCCTTCTAATTGTACTGTAAGCTTTTTGAGTAATTTTTCCCTGCCGTTGCGTGTCAATAACTCGCCACTTACAAAACTTATCTTCTCTCTCTATATAGGTTTCACTAGAATCATCTTTATTCTCGTTTAAGTCTCCTTTCCTGCCATCTAGAGGAGCCATATTCATAAATTTTCTTTTCCTCAACCCAACCACGGTCGGGTCGGCTGAGGTGGGTGGACCCTGGCCAATATTTCTGTGAACGTCCCTCCATGGACCCCCTCTATTTCGAATTCCTGAATCCACCATGGCCCCATACAGTATGTTAAAGTCCCTATCTGACCCAGAAGAGTGTGGATGTATTCGTTTAAAAACAACAAAGTAATTGATTGCTTTCCCTACCCTGTTCCCAATCAGATCAGTATAGGCTTATTTTATGAACTCTCGATTTTTTTAAATGTTTTGACCTCTACCCATCTCATCCACAACGTAAAGTGCTTGTCATTATTTGCTCATATTCGCAATTTCCATTAATTTCATTTATTTACAATATAACATTTACATTTGTGGTAAAAATTTAGTATTTTCAATACCCAATAATATTATAGGTTTTTCATTGTGTGCTAGACCTACATTTATTTCTTTTATGTTTAAATTTATTAATTTTTTATTTACCTTGTTCTATAATTTTACATAGTCTATTGACATATGCAGTGAAAATCTGAAACACCACGTGGTTGGAAGCAGCACGTTTCACATCTAGGCTATGAGTATGTCCAATTTATAGGGATTTATTTTACTCCGACCTCGATTTATTTACGATTCTTAAAATTTTAATCATAATAATGAACGTTAACCCGTAGTATAATTAATGACATTTCCACTGTGTTTTTAATTAGATTGATTTAATTTTGTATAGATCAGTTTCCTTAACATATCAAAGTTAATATTCATAGTTAGGCCATCAACATTTTAGATAGACTACAGAACATTTGAAAATAAGAACACTGAATAGTGTTGTTCTCAAAACCAGTGGCGGATTATTTTCAGCGCCCCCCCCCCACCCCCCACAAATTTGCACCCACCCAATAAAAATCCTGCATACGGGCCTGCACCCATCATCTGTAAAAAGTAATTTCACAACTCAGAATGTGACATAACAGCAGTGCATGAAGGTTTTTGGAAACACATTGTAACCATCAAAATTTGGGCGCGGTCCTCTGTGTTAAATAAAAAATTTACTTTGGCTCTCTCACCGATTTTTATGCTCAACCCCTTGCTTTAGTTGAAGGAGCTGACTAGCAAGCGATGTTGAATAATTCTACTGGACTTACCATGTTCTTAAAGTAGGTTCCAGTTTCACATCGAGGATAGCATACACCATTATCCATTATATGACCCGGATGGCATGATTCACAATCAAACACACCTCCACCTAAAAACAAACATATTACTTTCTATATTTAATTAATAAAAAACCAAGCAGTGCAGAATGGATAATACAATAAACAACAATAACATACAATAAACAACAATAACATTAAATAAAAACAAAGTTCCTGAGATCTCAATTAAAAATCAGAATGAACCTAAAAAAATAAAATATTAAACTTTGAATCAAAATTAGCAATTAGAGATCTAGAGGAGAGGGAGGTATTATATTTTTAACGATTGCCAGACATTTCAATACAAAATACCTTAAATCTGCTTTCAGAAATTTAAGGGTATATGCAAAACTGATCAGTTAGCCAAGAGTTACTGTTCCTTCTTGTGCTATAGACCTCAATTTAAACCTGGCCAGTGTCCGATTTTTATTAGAGCCTGATCGCTTGACTCCTCGAATAAATCTCATATTGAGAATAGGGTGGGCAAAGGACTATCTTTGTATCTGTATGTATCTCTATGTATCCGTTTTTGATTAAGTGGCAATTTTTTGGAGCATCACCTCTGTTGTAACTGGCAAGATACCACTGTTAGATGATAAAGAAAATTAATCTATTCAATAAATTTAATCTAGAAATCCAGATATTTTACCGAGACTACAGGTGAGACAGGAAGCGTGACAGGGTCTGCACTCTTTACTGTATGCTGTATTAATACAGTAAGTATGCGGAGGTCGAGTATCGTAACATTTACCCTCCATCAGAAATTTATTTGTTGAACAAGTCAAGCAATCTACATCAGTCGAACCACTGCAACTTTCACAGCTCTTATGGCAATGTTTGCATGTATTTGAATGTAAGTCTTCGTAGAAACTGAATATAAAAACAAGAAGTTATATAAGATATATATTAATTTAAATTACTTTAAAATTAGTAATTAATAGATTTTAAATTAAGCTTTGATAATCTGAAGATGATTATTGAATTATAATATGAATTATATCATTCTCTAGCCAAAATGTCTAATAGGTTAATGATACATACAATTTAACATTTAGAAAAGCCATAATGAATGTATTGGGATGGTGCACACTGACTATTATTTGAACAAACAGCAGTTCGCTGCTAACTACACTATTTGTATAATACACATTATTTTTCTTTTATGCTCGAGAGGTAAATTCCAAAGGAAACCTAGACATTTATCAGTTTATCCAGGTAATTATTCACGAAATAGACTAAACTTACGATAAGCCACAGTTGATGAGACACTCGTTGCCTTTGAGAAACAAAAGCTCTTTACATGAGGTGCATTCGTCCTCTTTACCCCCATAACACATCTGACAATTGTTGCTACACCTTCGGCATTCATTTGTACTGCTTGCATATTCAAATTCATCCACCAAGAAGTGGTAATATCCTCTTTCGATTGGACATGAATGTAAGCACACACTATCTACAAATTAAAAAAAAAATGATTGTAGAGTAACAAATAATGCGAATATTATGTACTGTCAATCAGAGGGCATGAAGACAAGACCCTGTCATACTTAGCAATTCTTGGTACCTCAAACATCTGAAAGGCTCTGATGGATATGGATACATGGTACATGTTGATAAAAATAATTGGTAATGATTTAAATGCCTTCTTACAATTATCACTGAAAATCTATACATCAAAATCAAACTCAATGTCCTTTTTGTTTGGTGCTTTTTGTATGCATTTTTCATTCTGATTTGTTTATTGTTATGATTTTGATGGTTTAAATTGTAAGTTAATTGAAAGATTTTATTGATAATATCCTTTGAAGTATGGATGATTAAATTTAATCAAGGGTTCATCAGCCTGAAGAAAGTAACCGAAACAGTTGTTGAAACCATTGCAACTACTTGGTTCAACAACAGGTAATTTTTTAAATACTTATGGAACCAGATGAAATTCTTTGAAGTTTAATGTTGTTGTTGCTTGTAAAAAAAATCTTGTGCTGAGTGAATGGTATGAATATTGATGTTAAATGACAAAATTTTTGATTAGATTGGTGTTGATGTAAATATAGATAAGAACAATTCCAAATAATTACAACAAATCTCTACATCTGTAAGATGACAGTGGTTCCGCCTTTGCTGCTCCCTGGCTCACCTAATTATTCTTTATGTTTGTAAATTTCTGATTTTTTTGTATTTGTAATGTTTTATGTTGTTAATTGTTTTGCCAGAATTAATAAAATAAAAAAATAAATTAAATAAAAAATAAAGTATCATTAAATATTAAATGATAAAATGCTTGTAGTGTGCATCACATTATTATTAATTATTATACATCGAAGTGGCTGTAAAAATTTAAATTTCTGAGTATACACACTATGTAAGTAGGTGTTCCTTGGGCAACCAATGCATTCTTGAGCTGAAGGGCCGTTGCAGGTTCTGCAGGTTTTGTCACATGGTTGACAATCACTTTCACTGTCGTAGTAGAAACCTGGTGGACATTCATTATGGCATGAGTTATCAAAGCTCATATACATATCATTCTGACATTTAAGACAGTCATACTGCGATGGGCCGTCACAGTTCCTACAGGTTGGATGACATTCTGTAACAAACAAAAAAAAAACCTGTCAAGGTAAAATGTTTCTACTTTTTACTTCCATCAAATATATCAGTAAATTTTTCTGGATAGATGCTAATTTAAAAGGACTAAAGTTGTACAAATTGAATGATTCACAAAAACATAAATTTTGGGTTTTTGATTATTTACATACATCTAACTACAAAATTTTAAAAATATATTACTAGTCAATGGAAGTAATATAGAAATATTATTATTTTATGCATCTGTAATTTAACATTGAAAAAATATTTTCTCTCTAATTTTCAAATAAATCTAGTAATGTAAGAAAATAAAATAAGATCAAGGGTTAACTCCATGTCCAACGAATGAAACAATTTGTGTACACAATATATTCTAAAATGTTTCAAGAAAACATTGAAATGATCCAAAAACCTACCATGGCTTAGCCTAGACATCCAGGCTTCACTTATGGCTTCTAGCAGCCTTGCTGGTCTCCACTGCAAGACTTTCATCTTGTAATATTTTAAGGGAGTCATTTACTTTCAGATGAACATGATTTTTTTTTTTTTTAAATTTTACCATTTAAACAAACTGACTTACCACCACATTCATCACTGGATTCTACCTTGTAGGACCCTTCTGGACAATTGCTTACACACAATCCATTCTTAAGAAGGTTGCCAGATAGACAGGTTAGGCAATCAGCATTGGATGGTCCTAAACAAGTCTCACAGGTTACATCACAGTCCTTACAATCGGTGCCATTAAAGTATTTTTTAGCATCACAGTTATTTGATAAGCACCCTCCATAGTATAATGTATAGCCGTCATTGCATTCTGAAGGAGAAAACATACACAAAATACAACATTCCACATGGAGTATGACACACATAGACATCATTATATGTAGACAACAGTCCATGTTTTATGTGGACATTACAGTACATCGAGTGTGTGGATATGCAGACATGTACAAAATGGCATAAGTGGACATACTGTATACAGTATGAAATATGTAAGCATGTATACAGACTAGCATATGTGGACATGTACTTGTGTTGGATGGTCCTAAACATGTAGACACATACAGAATGGCATATGTGGACATGTACAGCATGGCATATACAGGTATGAACATGTAAACATATACAGCACAGCATATGTGGACATGTACACATATTGGGTGGTCCTAAACATGTAAACAGATTACAGAATGCCATAAGTGGACATGTAGACATATACAGCATGGCAAATATGCACATATAGACATATATGTCATTGGCAAATGTGGACAAATTTTTCATCAACTTCAACACATTGATTTTCATCCAAAAGAGTAATTAATCCTTTTCCTCGTCAATCTAGGAAAATATTTTTTAAAGAAATATAATTAGCCAAAGAAGTTCCCCGAATTGCTCTTTGGGTGTTGATATTTTGATTGACTTGGTCAAACCTATGTACAACAAATGAACAAGTTCCAATTCTTTGTATTGTCACATATAATCACAAAACAACACATCACAATCATACAACAAAAACTGTGCAATAAAAACTTACTTGTACATAAGTTGTTAGAGCATTCTTGACAAAGTGGAGGGCAGCGGTAACCTTCAATGTGACCTTGAACGACACAGTCACCTGAAACTCCTTCATATCCACTTCAAAATAAAGTCAGATTGAAATTCATTGTATAGTAAAGTGTAATTTAGCTTGGTTGTGCTAAGAAAAATACAAACTGAATTACTTTGTAATAACTTTCAATTAGAACAAGAATTTTAATTTCTCTGATGAACACACATATAAATAATCACATTAATTAATAACAAGTAATATCAATAAAAATAGAATATATTTAGCACATATATCTATTGCATTCTAATATTCCATATAATGGACACAGTAATTAGTAGACTGAATGAAAACTTGTTGAATACTTACACAGGACACTGATCAAGGCATCTACCTTGATGCAGGAATTCCCCAGCATAGCACTTTGTGCAATTAAGGTAGTTTCCAGTACAATCCGTGCACTCTACTGAGCATTGCCTGCATTTACGTGGTTCCACTTTATTATCATATTCATAATATCCTTCGGGACACTGGGCTTTGCAGTATCTTGCCATATGAAGATAATACCCTGAAAAATTATGGTACAGTACTTGTCAAATAAATCATAGTGTTATCGGTCTATGAGTGAGATACTTTACCTGGATGAACTGATATAAGCCAGGCACTGTCAAGTACATGTGGCAAATCCCAAGATAGATAGATCGTTCTGGGCATGCGTATGGACATGCATGGGCAGTTTTGAAGCAAACAGTCTGATCATTGCCTGCACATGACATGCAAAAACTTATCGTTCCCATGCTAAAGGAAACGCTAAATGAAATTTCTTCGGCGATTTTGTTAAACATAGTTATTATACTACTTAAAATAATACATGTATTCCGAAAATCCAAATCTCTTCTAATTCCGAACAAGTCCGAACACAAAAACCAACTTTGAAAACCGGACAATCAGTAAATGTAAACATCGTAATAAGAAATAACAAAACAACATGCATAGGCCTACCGGATGCCATGAAAACTAACTGTCATGCCATCCCATGGAGATTATAATAAATTGATTTAAATGACACGCCAATAAATGTCAATGTTACATATAATGACAGTTACACCTTCCACCAGACAACACACAAACAAGTTTCTGTGGGTGATTCTTTTCAGTAGACATTTAGACCTAGCTAATTTGGACTCTGATGACGGCGTTAGATTCAACAGTGTAGATTACAAAAATACACATCCTCATTCATGTTGCTGTTTTAATTTTGGAGAAAAATTTGTAGAGAAAGAAAATCTGTTTAATTAAAACTTTGGTCGGTTATTACAATGAGCTGTTCCTATTTTATACGTCCATGTTGTCACGCACTATGGTATTTTGGGCGATTAGAAACGTCATCCCAATCGAAGCACATGTTTGCACACCACCACAACGCTGGACCCCCGAAAAAATAACCAATTAGTGAGCAGAGTTTTGGAGACGCGGTGTCCGACCCTCAGCAAGGGTCACCGTGACGATGAAGAATTTGTTGTTTAGAAAAAAAATATCTACAGTACAACTGAAAATACATGTTAAAACAATATAAAAGCATCAATTTTATTGATAATTACATTTAATGTGCTGTAGAGTAAAACAACAGGTAAGGCCTACAGTACTGTACGGTACTTAAAACAGCAGTCGCTTGGATGTAGCAAAAGTGAGGCACTCTCTCTATCCTAGTCTAGTAGTTAGTATATTCCGACTTGTAATTAAATTAGGACCTAGGCGTAGCACTAGCGCAGGCCCGGTCAGTAGGGCCTAGCCGCCAGTCCCGAATATGGTTTGTGTTTCCTTTGTGGTTAATTCAATCATTAATACTGTTCTGACCACCTTTACGACTGGTTGCAAATGAATAAGACACAAATAAACAAGAAATTTATGGAACCGTTTTTGTGAAATTTTATTGATTTTTAAATTTGGCTAAAGCATTTTCAATTTGGTGAAAAAATTTAAAACCTTTTGCTATTTTGGCTAAAGAAAATTTGACCCTAGCATGAGCGCAGAATTGAACTTACGAAGGAAAAAATTGGAATTGTGTTACCTACCACAAGCAGAGCATGGAGTTTTCCAAGAAGACAAAAATTGAACGTAGGGACTAAATGCAATGTTTGCTTGAAAAATAAAAATACAACAGCAAAAGCACATGGCCTTTTTTCTCCAAAGATACTTTTTCTTTCACTATTCTGCAGGTAAGTCTACACTCTCTCACGCAGAAAGGAAATTTGAGGCTTGTTACAAAACGATAAAACGACAGGGTTTGATGATTCAATTATTTTTTGCGCTAAGTTCCATTAGGAATCTGGCTTATATTGGTTCATCCTGGTATGTATTCACGAAAAATAGACACTCAAGTAAAAAAAAAAGGATGTTGGTTGTCTTACATTACTAGTGAGGAACTTGATCCGATAAACCGATAAGTGCCAAGGTTCCCTATTCCTAGCTTATATTAAAATGTTTAAAACATGCAATGCAACATTAACCTATGTTGTGTTTGTTTTTTTATGTCGACTGACCATGAAAAGGGCATGCACAGTTCCAACTACGAATTGGCTTATTGCATTAACAAATGTTTAATTACAAGTTTATTGATTGCTGCGAAGCAGCCAATTCATATTCTTGACAGCAATTTGACCTCTGAAAGGTCATTGTTTGTCAAAAAAACAACGGCCTAAGACGACTGAAAAGTGGAGTTTCCTTCTTACGTTCTGCATGTCGCGCTAGCCTTATCCTACTCAAGGCCTAGACTAGCTAGGATGGTATAGGCCTAACCTTGAAGGAACGAAGGTCCCAATGAAAAACAACGTCGCTCCTTGATAGCTAACATTGTCTATTTAACGTCACAATAATTCATTATTAAACCTATAGTTGTTTTTTGAATTGTACTCCACAAATCTCAGCTGATACCTTGCACAACTCGAGTAACGACTCGTATCTATTGTCGTGACGTCATGGCTCGCTGGCTCACACTTGCGATTTCTCGCACTTGTGATCAAATAACACACCGGCTCGCACTTTGGCAACGCTCTTTGGCAGTCAACTCGCCCCTAGAAAACCCGCCCTTGGAAACTTGCCCCATAAAAAAATATACACTTCCTAGACCATGCAGTCTTCAAAATAAAAATTGTAACCTTTGGTAATCAACTACATTTTCCACATACATAAACATTTTTGAAACTTTATTAAAAAAAACCTAAACCATAATTCACAACTTTGACAAAAATGAAAAATTACGACTTTGTTACCCAATGAGAAGTGTTCTAATATGGACAATGGGTCGTGTCTCATATTATTTGTTATATTTTTATTATTCATTATTTTCACTTGACTCGCATAAATAATTTCGTTCGAAGAACATTTATATGCAGTTGTACTTCGCAGCACTTCACTTGCAATTTCTAGTAATAAAATATTTACTGGTCTAACTTTGGAAACAATTCAACCATGGAAAATGACCGAAGCGGAGTTAGAAAAACCTTGTGCAAGAACGTACTGTAGGACTACGGGACAGAAAGAAAAAATAACCCAGAAGGAATCAATAGCCTTTTTCGCTGTCATGAATGAATTAAAGATTGAAGATTTATGTATTTCAGCACATCACTGCAGTTGAAACTGAATTGCGACTATGTTACAGTACAATAAAATATTTAGTAAATTAAAAATGTATATACTTTGAGACATTACCTGATTTACAAGTCAAACATTCCGAATCTTCATAACTGACGCAGGTCTGACAAGTTGGATAACATGATTTGCAGATGTTATCCTGAAAGTCTGGATAGTAAGTATCTGCACAATGGGGAGCACATTCTCCAGTTGGCATCCAAAACTTTGTCACCTCACAAGTAAGGCAGTCAGAATCTCGGTCGCCTTGACAACTGAGGCAGGAATCATGACAATCTTTGCAGCCAGTACCTGTCAAAAAAGAACACTTTATAAAAAACGACTTGAAAATGTTTCCATCATAGGTCGAAAAAAAACATTTACTTTATAATAATAATAATGAAATAAAAACATTAATAATAATAATAATAATAAATTTAATTCTTATCATTATCTCAGTATTTTATTAAATTTATTATTTTTTAACTAATACTGATACAATTTCTACATTTAATTTCATTCTTCCAACAGTGATTGATAAATATAAACCAATTTTAAGGAAAAAAATCCTTAAAATATCAGCCAGGCAACTGAAGGATCTACACAAAGAAGGAATGGTGTTACTTAACAGGGGTAAACCATGCCAAAACCAGCATTAGTGACCAAAACAAGAACATTTACTCTTTAATATATTCAAATTCTCCACAATATAAGCTTTGAAATGGTAGGTTATTTACTGGAATCGACTTACTATTGCCAAAGGTATGAGTAAGATTACTATGGATTCTCAGAAGTAAAGTATACAATACTGCCACATTCTATGCTAATACAGTTTAACAATTAGCGACTGTACACTGGTTTTGGGATGGCAAGCCTCTTATTTTGCTCGCATATTTAATTGATATTAACAATATATTTAAATATACAATTTAACTGAATAAAGTTTACATCTCTAACATTACTTACTAGTTGGGTATTGGCCACTGTTACAAATAGACCGACAAATACCGTATAGATCTCTGGTAAAATTCTCTTTACACTGGATGCAATCAAGAACTCCTGGTCCAGTGCAGTTGTGGCATGTTGGATAACATGGGATGCATTCGTTGATGACCTCATCCGCGTACGAGTCATGACCACATTCACTTGCCTCCACACACTTATGCTTCACAGCTCCAGATGCATCTTCTAAAGCTACAAACAGTGATTGACAAATGAAAATATTCTTTTTAAATTATCAAATTCAGTACAGAACGTACTATTCATGAATCAAGTACAGGTCTAGCATTCTAATTAAAGACCCTCCAATTAAACAGATTTATCTTTATTATTCTAATTAGAGACCAAAACTGCTAATGACCATGAAACCCCAGTCCCAAAAGTGGTTGTTAATAAGATAGAGACCTGTATATTTATTTGGCAATTTTAACAGTCAATATAGGGAAGGCAAACAGATACAAATGATTCTTTTTCAGAGACATCAGCAGACTTTCGGACCATGGGTAACATTCAAATGGGTAAATCTTACCGCTGTTTGCACTTGGATCTTTGGAGTTGGTTAGTTATTAAAACTAACCAAGCTGTGAAAATCTCCATTGAGCAACGCTTGAATGGACTGCATTTCATTAAACTTTGCAGCTCAGTAAAACTAACCTAGTCGGTTTCACAAGACGCAATCCACTCATTTAAACTAACTGCTTGTCTCAGTAAGGTGCCCTGAGAGGTAAGTTTCTGTGATGGTGGCAATGGAATGATTCCGGTAAAACTATCATGCGTCCCGGTTAGTTTTACAGAAAAAACTCCAGTGCAATTGCGGCTATAGAAATTTATTTTGCTCCATGACGCAACAACAAAAAGAAATGAAAGGAGAACATGAAAACAGTGAACTATGCAGCTTGGGGTAGGGTCACTGAGAGCAGCCTGCATGCCCCAAAATTTTAAAAGTTGAATAAGAGCCCTAATGGCAGATGGGTAAAAGCTATTTCTGTACCTTGTTTGACTGGCACTTGGTAACGCTGACCACTTTTCATGCCCATATATGGTCAAATCAAAGAAATTTATAGTTTATAGTGTGGACAGAGTGCAGAAATACTTACCCTTAAGGTATTGTCCGTCTGCACAGACCACGCATTCATCTGCCGCAGGTCCAAGGCACTGATCACAACTACTATCGCAAGCAGAACATTCCATAGTATCCAGATTTGGGTAAGTACCATCAAACCATATACAGTCTGGCTCGCATGTGCCATCAGGTGTTTTAAAGTATGATGGGATACATGTTACACAGTTATGGTGACTTATGTCATCGCATGTGTCACATGAAGGGTGACAGGCACCGCAAATGCCTATATCAGTTAAAGCAACAAAATTTGGAGGGCATTGCTCGACGCAATCTCGGTTGTACAAGAAGGTTGTATTATCGCATGCTGTGCAAAGCCAACCTGCAATATTAGAAGAAACGATATAAATAAATATTAATATATAAATATACTTTCAGTTTAAAAAAAAAACATTAAAAATATATTTAATATTTAAATTTTAATAATTTAAAAGAACCAAAAGTGTATTCTAACCTAAAATACATGATTTGTTCATATATATTATTTTGAATGAAGCAGGTTCAAACAAAAACGTCTTCCAAACTTTGTTTATGAAAATAAATATTTAGACATCCCAAGCCATTGCTTGAATGTCGTAGAAAACGTAGTAGGAATCCTAGTACAGCCCTGTAGTGAGTATAATTACAAATACTAGGCCTACAAACCGGTCCTACCCTAGGCTAATTAACTGAGCTACCCTGGGCCTAACCTAGATAGACGGCGCCTAATTTTTGTGCGGTTAACGACATGGAATTTTTGGGAGTAGGTTGACGACCGGTGTATATGCTGTACCCCAAATTTCAGGGGTAAAATTGCGTATAAAATCTGCGGCTTATACACCAGTATATACGGTACCTTTTAAACACAGTGCTCTAAAAGGTTAACTGAATTTGTAATGTTAAAAATTACAAATGTTAATGGAAAAAAAAAAACCTGATATTAACTACCATCAGAACAGGTTATACAAGATGTAGAACATGTAAATGATCCCTCAGTACATCTGGAACTATCTGTATCCTTCACCAAACCATCCATACATGTATCACAATCCTTAAATGAAGGCCCGTGGCATGATGCGCAAGTCTCATCACATTTTGAGCACTGCAGTCCGGATATGTGGTTGTCGTCCTCAAAGTAGCCATTGGGGCAGGCCAACAGACACCGATGGTTGAACAGATAACGTTGAACA